GTTAGACTTTAACATGATCATTACATTAAATCCCAAATGCTGACGTAGGAAATGCGGCTGGGGGAGGGGAGCGGTCCTGAAAAGCTCAACAAAGCTCACGCACCCAGAAGCAGCAGGGCTGAGACTCACAGTAAGCCATCACTGGCACCTCCTGCCCTTGGCCACAGTGTCTTCCTTCTTGTGAGCAAAATGTACGTAGTCTTCCCTGTTTCCTTCTTCCACCAGACAGCTATCTGACCATCCCCTCCCTCCCTTCATCCCAGTTCCACCATCAGGGAGAAGAAATGCATTAGCTTCGCACATCTTGTAACTAAAGGAAGCAGAAGACGTCTGATAATTCGGACAGCCTGGGGCAAATGTCTGTTTTTAAGCCCAGACACCACACTGTTGCTGGAGAGAGGTGGGGATGGGATGGGCTCGGGTTTCATGGGCGCCCCCAGCTTGGCCCAGAGAGGTCTGCAGCGAAGGGTGGGAGATGGAGGTGGTGGGGCTGCTCTAACGCTGAGCCTGGCCCCGTGTGCTACGGGCTTTAAGAGCTGAGGCATTTGTGCTGCACCAAGAGCCTTCCCACGTGGCTAACTGAACCTCCCTGCTGCACACTGTCGTGCACAGGGCAACACCTCATCTGAAGTACATAAGAATTTAAAAGAAAATGACGACAGAGGGTTTAATGGAGCAGAGAGCACTGTAATCGGGCAGCAATGCCAAAGCCTGGGGCTAAATGAAAGCTCTCAGCCACGGAGGAAAGTGCCTGTGATTCAGCTCCTGGTCGCAGTTTCCCCTTAAGGCACTGTGGCTTCCATTAAACTCGGAAGTGTCCTGATTAAAAGTGGGTGTGGGGGAGGGGAGAAAGGCTGAAGGTCAGCCTTTGCAGCTGTGCCATCTGTTCCCAGACACTGTGCTTGTTCTTTTGTGAACTGGAAGCGAGTCTCCACGCTGGGTCAGAAGTCACAGGCTTGAGAAGAGGTGTGGGGTCAAGAGGAAGCACACTTTCAAACACCTGCTCTCAGGTGCTGCAGGCACCTGAGCTTTGAAGCACGGGCGTGTCCTTCTGGGTGGGCTTCTCTCCTGCCCTCCCTCACTTTGGGGGGACTGCTGTTTGCCACGGGGTTGAGAAACAGTCCAGAAGCTCCTGGCTAGAAGGATCTGGTCACAAAGGAGGTGATGGTGAGGGACGGTGCCTGGTCTGGTGACATCTGCTTCCTAAGGTCTTGTTGGAGTGGGAACCTTCAGATGTTGCTGACCATCTGTCTCCAGGGATGGTTTCAGCTCCAAGAGCAGTAATGTGAAGTTAAAGCACATTGCTCCTGGATGCTGGTGTGGGCAGGCAGGCAGGCAGGCCAGGTGCATCCAAGGTCCATCAGGAACTCCTGGCACAGCCCACATCTTCATTCGCCAGCCCCTGCAGCAATCCAAACACCTTTTCTGGGAATTGTATCTAACTTCCTAATCCTTCCAGGTTTCTTTTCAATATCCTCAGTGACCAGTGCAAGGTCTATTTTGCATCAGAAGCCTGTCTGGAGCCAGAATTCAGGTCTCATGGTGTCAGGCTCAGGCTTTGGGCACTGGCTGCGCGGCTACAAATGCAGAAAGGTGATGCCCAGAAACACACAAGAGCACTTGCTTTCCCCACGACTATGTGGATCATTTATCCCTTTATCTTCTTGCCATGTGGATGCCAATTATTGATTCCTTCCCTCCAGAGAAAATCCTACTATCAGTGTGAGAAGGGCCAGTACCTGGCTCTGAGCTGCTTTATTATGCCCTGAATTCCTTCCTTGCTGGGTGAAAATTCAATACACTGTACAGGAGGCAGAGCTCAGAGATTTCCTGAACAAAAGAGGATGGGGAGGCAAGGACCTGCATGCTCCTGCTGTTTCTGTGGGCTGTGGCGTCCTTTATACCCTGCAGAATTTCAGAGGGAAAAGAGAGAGCTTCTCATTTTTTTAGGGGCTGTAGGGCAAGTGGATGGACTTTTAACTCTTCATCTAGTTTAAATCAAGTAAAAAAGATGTGTCATTGGAAAGAAGAGATATTTAGATGTCCACGTTACTTTTTAAGTGTGATTCTGAACTGGATGAGCAGAAAAGCCCTTTAGTTGAAACCAGTAATACTGAAACTCACACACTGACTGAGTAAGTCAGCCACGCAGGTCAGGTCTGTGCTTTGCTCCCATTCACAGCTGCCCTGTGTCTGTATGATGAAGTCCCAGGGCTTCGGGGATCACCCACTGGGAGAAGTACAGAGCTGACACATCCCAATCCAGGCTACACATGAGAACCACTGGAGAGCTTTAAAAATGATTGACGCTGAGTCCACAGCACAGAGAAACTGATTCAACTGACCTAGGGTAGGACCCAGGCATGGCTATGTTCAGGGGGTGGGGGAAGTGGTAAACTTCTATTAGCAAGTGCTTATGAAAAAGTGTAACTTCCATACAGTGACATGCACAAATCTTGAGGGCCCAGCTAAAGGAATTTTTATGCATAAATACTCCTGAAACCCACCCCCTTCTGACTACCAAACAGAATGTCATCATCTCCCAAGAGTGTCAGCACAAGACTTTTTCAATTAAACTCTTGTATTTTAAAACTCTTCAAGTTGCAAGGGTATAACAATGAACTCAGCATGGGTATTTTAAAACTCTCCCCTGTGATTCTAACATGCAGGCAGACTGACAGCAGTAATTTGCTGTTTTTGTCACGCTTCTGGCCATGGAAAGCCTTCAGGAAAGCATGGGCATAAGGTTTTAATTTTCTGTTACTGATTTCTTAACCAGGTCATTACTACTTCCTTCGAGATAGAAATTAATGTCAGCCCCAGACACACTTAATTTTGTTGCACTTGGATTGTCTTTATAACTTTTCATCCATTGCGTATGATTCATAACCTCTCTCTTTCTGGCTATATATGATTTCAGTGGCTCTTTCTGCTATAAATAAGAATATCTTGTATGTGCTTGGGAAAAACAAAGGTAGAGATCATGCTAATATTTTGTGGGTCGGCCGCTGACTGTTGGTGGGCAGGGCGAGAGACAAAACCTGGTGTCCTGCACAGGGTTCCTCGTGGTTCGAGGGCAGGGATGTGAGAAAGGCAGGGGACTGAGAAGCCGAATACCGACCGAGGAAACAAAAACAAAAGGAATCATGTCCAGACCTGGTGGAAATGCGCAGAGGCCAACCTGAGTTATGAGTTAAGGGGGGCCTGTGGGAGATTCTGAGATATGATGGGAAGGGAGGACCAGGGAGGGGATAGTAATAAAGCCAGGAGCCATGAAGCTGTGCTTTCACCAGAGGCTGAGACACAGAACACAGCAGCCTTAGAAGGAACCCAGCTGCCCAGGACAGCTGCCAGGGTCTGCCCTGTGTGAGGACCTGGAAGGGATGGCTGGGGGCGAACCTGCAATTGTGACCACCTGGAAGAGGTACCTTATTTTAAGTTGCACAAAAGCTGCCTACGGACTCGCAGAGGTTCTGGGGGCCAGCCCTGGGTACAGCTGGGTTCTGCCAAGACCCTGCATCTCCTTTTTGTCTCCCGATACACAGTTCCTAAGAAGCAATTCCTTACGTGGCAGCTAAGTGACTTTTTTCCCCGGAACAGTGAGTGGAATGGAGCAGCAGTTCCTCAGGTTCCAGACAGAGGAGGAGAATCTCCTTCAGTTCCTTGGATTTGGGCAGAAGACAGGACTCACGGTGGATATAGGTAACTGCCTGTAGGGAGGGCATCTCTGGCCCAGAAGTGACCAAAGAATCTAACATGGGGAACCCATCACACTCAAATGTTTGGCAAAGACAAGTTCTCTTCAGGTCCAGTAGCCCATTTCTTATGTCTTATGTTTTTTTTTTGGTTGTTGTGGTTAAATACGATTTTGGTTTGCATAGGAATTTTTAGGTTTATTAAAAGAAAGAGTGTGACAACATGAATTTGGTAGCTCAGCATGTAAAAGAAACCACAATGCATCGGTACGCTGCAGTCTGCCTCGTCTTTGATTTTAGCAATGAGTTAAATTCACCGAAAGTTGTTTTCTAACAGAACTATGCTTTATAATGAAAAGTTGCTCTGTTCTTTAAAAAAAAAAAAGCAGGAAGATAGAAAATGAGCAGAGTGAAGTTTTGAAATCTAATTTTTTAAATTGATCCGATTTTAGCTAGAACAAAGAGTGAGTTTTTGAAGTCATGGTGGTTTTAATTTATATAGTATTCATACTTTGCCATCTTCAGCCTGTTTGTGTACACTCACACACACAAATATAACCAGAACACCCCCCCCACCTTCCTGCTATATTGACTTCAATTCCTAGATTCTGTTAACTAATCCCAGCATCTCATTGTTTGTGGGTAAAGCAAGGAGGAGCTTGTAGCTTCTGAGGACGAGTGCTGTCCAGAACATGAAACCTTCAAGTATCTGAACAGTAAGTGCTTGGGAGAAACTGAGGGGATCTGCAGAGCAAGGACGGTAGAGTCACCTCTTAAGTTCTGCAAACTGATGGTCCGTGACAAGTCAGGATTCTTCCTGCTCCCATCCCAGTTCTGAGCTGCCAGAACAAGTGGGGCTGACGTGGGCTGAGCCTTGGACTAAGCCCAGAGCAGACAACTAAAGGCACCCGTGTGTGTGCCTGATGCGTATGAGTTAAATCACTCAAGGTTTTAAGAACAACTGTGTCATGTTGTCTTATATGCTGCTTATGATCTGCGTATCCTCTGACCTCCACTTACATGGAGACCCCAGAGCTGATAGCACAAAGGAAACAAATGAAAGCAATGGCTTTAAAAACAGCAAAATGCAATAGTATCTGGCAAGGATCATTAGCACACTCTTATCTTCTACAAATCTCTGTATGGGGGACGGTAGGGGAGAAGGTCCTAGACATTACAAAAAGGAGAAACATGACGATGACAGTGTTGTTCTTAAATCAGCATTTATGAGAGAGGGAAGGGATGGGAACGGAGGCTGAAATAAAACAAGGTGACCGTGCGGCTGGTGCGAGGCCAGCCTCTTACCATAGTGCGGGATGATGGCCCAGGCCATGGCAGAGGCATAGATGCCGCCGATCATCCAGAACATGCATAGCCAGCTCAGATGCTCGCCCCGCTTCTCTCGGGCCAGCACTTCCGCAAAGTAGGAGAACACGGTGGGAATGGCTCCTCCAATCCTGCCAAGAGGTACAGAGGATGCATGAAATCAGGGCCTGTACAGCCTGAACCACAAAGCACAGAGCAAAAGCAAGTTCTAGGTACCCATGCTCGCCTTCTGTCCCAGTATGTCAAGGAATACGTATTTTCTATCATTTAGTAACTTTAATCTTAGAGTCTCCAGGTTTTTGTGTTTTTTTGTAAACAAAGTTTATCCTAGGAAGAGCAACTAACTGAGAGATAAAATCATTTTAAAATTTACATGTATGTACTGCACTTGAACCTGCAATTAAGCTATGTTACCAAACGGTGGCAGGAGTGCCCTACTCATGTGCTTTATAGAGCTTAGCTTAAGATCTCCATGGACTTTATGTTCCTTGTTAAATGTTCTACATATTTATCAAAAATTATAATATTGGGTATAATCTAGGAATATTTTAATTAACACATTTTTGAAAAAGAGATACTATGATTATGCCCTGTCCATGACATGGGAACTTTGGAGGGCTGTCTGCAACTTATACTTCTACCCCACAGCATTGGTCCTGGAGCCCAATGTGGCTGATGTGTTGGCAAACACAAGACCAACAGGGTTGCTTCCCAGACTTGCGCAGGTCCCACCCCGTCCAGCAGATACTGCTGAATGAGTACATGTGGAAAAGGCACTGGGAGAATCAAATAAAGAGCTGTTGATTTGGATACCAATACTATAATGCTTCCTTCCAGTCAGGATGATTGTAAGAAATACTGACTGATCTCTGGACAGAGGATATGAACAGTGACCTCTATTCAGGTTAAGGGTTCTCAGATGATGGCCTGTGGAATCCAAATTTTGTTCATTCTAGGGAGATGGGCCATGGATCACATCAGAATTTCAAATTTGTCTTGACCCCCCAGTTTTAAGAGTCACTGCCTAAGAAAGTATGGTAGTATGAGGGAAAATTACTTACTATCATCCCAAACAATGTGTGATTTCTTAAAATATACATTTTAAAAAAATGTGCAACAATATAAGTGAGTTGCAAAGACAATATCTAGTGAAACAGTTTTTAAAATATGTGCTGATTCCTTTATGTCCCAATTTCTGTAAGGAAAATTGCAATTGACATTTCATGTAAATTTGAAGTCAATAGCAACCCATATATTTCTCCATTTAGCAATAACTGATTTCCTTAGAGCCTTTGATATGATAGAGAAGTACTGGCAGCGACCTTAGCAAATGCAGTTAAGAGAAAGGCCATATTTGTAGCAAACTAGATGCACCAAATGAACAACGTCACTGCATCTACTGGTAGGTCGCAGCGCGGCACCGTTTCATGAGTTTGCCCCAGTTTATAGAGATGCGGTAGTTACCTCCTGCTGGTTCTGGGCAGACCACTTAGACCAGTGTTTCTTAATCTGTAGGCTATGAATTAATTTAGTTACTGTAAACAGCATTTTAAACAGCATTTCCCAATTGAAATGGGATGGACCTAGAGATTATCATACTAAGTGAAGTCAGCCAGACAAAGAAAGGCATATATCCCATGATATCACTTACATGTGGAATATTTAAACAATGAGACAAATGAACTTATTTACAAAACAGAAAGAGACTCAACAACATAGAAAACAAAGTTATGGTTACTAGAGGCAAAGTGGGGGAGGGATAAATTAGAAGTTCAGGATTAGAGGATACAAACTATTATATGTAAAATAGATAACAATGCTCTATTGTATAGCACAGGGAACTGTATTCAATAGAGTTGTAAAACCTATAATAGGTTATTACAGGTTAATAGCCTATATTGAAACCTATAATGAAAAGTTAACCTTATAATAACCTATAATGAAAAAATATGAAAAAGACTATGTACATATATATATGTATAACTGAATCATCATTGTGTTCTACACCAAAACTAACATATTGTAAATCAACTATACTTCAATTAGAAAAATTGAAATAGAGATGAAAATATCTGTGACACTCAAGTAATAAAGATAAGTATCATGTCATAAAACTTTTCTCTTACAAACATATTTATAATATTTGCATATGTATATGAGTATACATATATAATTATGTAAATATATATGTATATAAAAATGTATTGTGTTTCTTAGTAAGAACTGCTATTCAAAGAGTTTTAAAAAATAACTAACTTAAAGCATCTCTGTCTGTTCCTCTGGGCTATGAACGCAACAGTTCTTCCTAAAATCCCTGTAAGTATGACTCCACACGACTTCAGATGCAGCGCATGGGAATTCAGCACCATCACAACAGGGGTAGCCAGCCAGGTTCAAGTCCATCAACCAGACCCTCAAACAGGAAACAGACGCATGTGGTGGGCAGTCAGAGCTGGTGCTACAGCACAGCACATCAGCTCACAGTTCTCTTCCTGGCTTCTTGAGGACCCCATACCATGCATGGGCAGCTAGCTGAATTTAAAAATTCAACAAAGTTTTGAACAGATTTGAAATGGTCTCATTACAATACAGTTTTAATGGGAAGGAAAACCTCTCTGTCATAAATCATTTAACGCTTCTCCTTTTGTCATTTCATGTGAAGAATCTGTTTCTCTGCACCATAAAGTCCCAGATCCCTAATCTGTGCCTTCATTTCTCAATGCATAGAAAGAGTCTCAGTTTCTCCTGATTTTTCACATCCTAATTAATGTTTCATCAGGATATTGGACATCTTGCATGTAAGAGATATAACTCATACTTCGTGAAAGCACAATTGTGTGTCAAGATATGCCAGGCTGCTCTGAACTAAGATGAATGTACTCCAGGGTGGCTAAAATGGCAAGTGGGAGATTGTAGACTTGTTTGTTCGTTTTAAACAAATCACTGTTGCATAAAAGAACTCCAACTTTCAGGGGCTTTTAAGCAATCCAGCTGGTTTTGATTCAATGCTTCTTTTTTAAAGTGGTTATTTTTGCATGGATGCCTCTCAATATCTATAAAGCGGACTACAAGGAACTCTAAAATCAAGGGATAAATGAAGAAAGAGGGAGGGAGTCTATTTAAATCCCTTGCAAAGTCCTTCAGACTCAGACTTAAAAAACAATCCAAGCATTCACATTTCTCATTGTAGGCTCATCGTCTATTTTGGGGAAAATATTACTCCTCAACTTACTGTGATGTCCTTCAAGCAGAGAAAAAACATTACGGCGTGCTATATAATATTATCAGTATTTCATATCCCATCAGAGTGCTTACACACTGTTTACGCTAGAACAAAGGCTCTTTGAAGATGAGGACTACATTGTATTCATCTTTGAACGTCCTTTACCTGGCCCTGGGCACGCACTTAAGCATTTACTCAGAGGAACTGAATTTCACGAAGACTCTCCAGTGATGGAGGCGGGATTCCAAGCCTCCTGAAGTAATCTGCTCTGATGACCTAAACATATCCAGTGAATGAAAACGTGACCTGAAGTGTTGGAGGTGCTGGAATGGCAGTTCTGAGAGCAACAGAGCCCCCAGAGAGTTCTTGAACTGCTCTGTGTCTCAGCTGTCCCTCTCCATCACCAAATCCTATTTTTAAAGTTTCCTGTTACTACTCTACCTCCATATTTTGTGTGCGGGGCTAATTCATTTCCTTATTTGTTTTACTGTACTGAGATACAGTTTCTGAGAATACTTGAAGAGATAAAAATATTTAAGTGGTTGTTCTCAAATTTCCATGTATCAGTGGTTATTAAATAGGGCTGATTTTGCTTCCCCTCTCAGTAGACATGTGACAATGTCTGGAGACATTTTTAGTTGTCACAACTCAGAGGATGCCATTGGCAAATAGTAGGTAGAGGCCAGCCAGGCACACTGCTGAAAATCCTACAGTATTCAAGGCAGCACCTCCCAACAAAGAATCATCCAGCCCCAAATATTAATAGTGCTCAGGCTGAGCAACTCTTGCAATGGAGACTTACTATGGAAAATACAACACTTTATATTTAAAAGTTAGAATACAAGTCATAAAATGGTTATCTTTTATATTACCTGATAGGTAACACATGCCTAAATGCAGTTGACACGGAGACCTTTTAATGGTTCATTACATAATGATGTTAGCTTCTGCTGAAACTTGCTCAAGTTCATTTTTGATGGAATATTTACATAGATGAAGCAATTAGATCAGGGTGATTTATAAAATTTTTTTCTCACAATCAGATATTAAGTCTATCTTCTTAGCTGCCATAAAGGATCAGATCTTAATTATCCAGGGTAATAGGAGACTCAAAGGCAATAATAATTGAAATCCATGCCCTATTATAGGTGGAAAGTAGCTGAACTGACACAAATGAAATAGAATGTTGTTATCTGGAATTTCAGAGTTGGAGCTATTCCCTAAGTAACATTAAGTTTTTACAACTTTAATTACAGATATATTAAAAAAGTAAAAAAAAAATCTGTATTAAAACACACTACTAGAATAAGTTGGGACCCCTCCACCACCCAGTATATGTGTGTGCGCACATGTGTGGGGACACACACAATACATACCTCAAAAGGTCTGCAGTACTTTTTGCAATACTCAATTCTAGGCATCGAGTAAATAGCATGAAACATACTTATTTTCCTCAATAATAGACAAATTCATGAATGAGATGTTGCATACGGCAAAAAGCATATCGGCTTTTACAGACAAAATTTCTCCACTGTTGGGAACATGGGACACATACGTTGAATCAGTTTAGCACAGCGGATGAAGCACAATGCCAAACATGACTGCACAAACCTCACTGGAAAACTGGGAAGCCCAACTGTCTTAGGTCTGCAAATTTCACAGCCACACCTCGTGTTACCCGAGTCCCGATGCAGCTCAGTGGTGGACGGTGTTTGCACCTCATTGCACTGATGCATGCTGACTGAGGCAAAGGTGGGGAGAGGTTTAGGTTTCTTCAGTGAAGGAGGGAGGTTGTAGATAAAAGGGCTAATCCTACTTAAAATGGATCGACTGATGTATGACATTTAGGGGAGAAATTATAGAATGACAACTTCTTGTCCTAAGGAGGGATTCTACTGAATAATTCTG